AAATTCAAAAAATATCTACAGTGAACTTGTGATGCATTTAAGAATATTTTTTAAGACACTTTAAAATTTTTATAATCCTCAGAGGTTTTCAAAAACATCAGTCATGAGGAAAGGACATCAAAACCACAGTGAGATACTACTTCATACCTACTAGGATAGCTCAAACCACAAAATGGAAAATAAGTGTTAGAATGTAGAGAAATTGGAACACCCTGTGTATTGATGGGGGAGAATGTAAAATGTCGGCAGCTGCTAATAGCAAAGTGTGGCGGTTCCTCAAAAAGCTAAGAATTACCAGTGACCCAGCAATTACACTCCTGGGTTTATGTCAAAGGAAGTGAGAACAGTAGCTCAGTAACTTGCATGTCTGTTCATTGCAGCATTATCCACAGTAGTCAAAGTGAAACAACTTGTGTGTCCAACAAATGAATGGTTAAACAAAATGTGTTAAGTTGTATGTTTCAGTATTCAGCCATCACAAAATAGTTTTGATACATGCTGCAACATGGATGAACCTAGGAAAACATGCCAGACACAAAATGACGTAATGTATGATTCCACTTCAGTGAGCTATCTGGGCAAATTGATAGAGCCAGAAAGTAGAATGAGATATTCTAGGCTGGGCGGAGGAGGCAGTGGAAATTAACTCATAATGGTTGGTCTCCTTTGGGGTGATGAGTGAGTCTTGAAAATCATGATGGTTGTACAACATCGTAAATGTGATTAATGCCACTGAATCGTACACTTAAAAACTTAATATAGTAAATTCTGTTACATATGTATGTCCTAACAGTAAAAAATCATAAGGACACTAAAAGTAATATAGTTAATATCCTGGAGAGGCAGAAACTGACAGGTTTGCCTATGTAGTCTGTGAAAAAGCAAAACCTTTTTGAATGTTGACCAAGATGGTCATCCACCAAAGTACTGGTTCCATGGCCCCAGCACTATTTACCCTGTGATGCTTTTGCCCATTCTTACTTGTAGGAAACAGCAGTAGAGGCTGAGAACATCCCCAGAAGGTGTCCTTGGAACACAGTGGCAGATCTTCCTGTATGTGAAATTAGCCTCACAAGTTGTTTTTTGTTTTTTTTTTTCTTTTTCCTTTTCTGCAGACATGATTGTAGTAGTCACAAGTGTTTTGTTCTGGTTCCTGTATGTGAAATTAGCCTCACAAGTTGTTTTTTGTTTTTTTTTTCTTTTTCCTTTTCTGCAGACATGATTGTAGTAGTCACAAGTGTTTTGTTCTGTTTTGTTTTGTTTTTTAACATATGGAACTTGTTCTCAACCTGGAAACTTAAAACATCAATGAAGTCCACCTTCCAGGGATTTTGTTATAATTGTGCTGCGTGTAGCCTAAGCATCAGGATGATTATATGTGGCCAAGGTTGAAAACCACCAACATGGGGACATAGGTATATTAACCACCTGGGACAGAGTGATACTCCTGTTAGGGGAATTGTGAAAAATCAAATAATGGCACCCCTTACTATTGCTAGTTTTAAACAAGCTCAGACTAGGGGAACTTCTGAACTTGGACATACACTTCATG